AGTGTGAAATGTAAAGGATAATCACTAGAACATGTGTTAATACTGCCAGAAAATGTAACTAATGATCACTATTACAGTTATACAACGTTAACGCTGACTAAAATGTATTCGATAAATACTAGTAGACTTTCACATTATAAATGTATAATACTTGTACATTTATGCATGCTGGTGGAATAGGTAAGTGATGCTACTAGTTCAGTTATACATGTGTTAATACTGTTTGGAAATATATCTGATAACTAGTAGTACATGTACCTTTTTCCTTGCGTTAACTTCTCTGAGAAAGGTAATTAGACATTGCTACTACTGTTATGCATGACCTCTTTATTAGTAATGTACAGTTCTTAGTAATATACAGGTGTTAGCTATATACAGGCAGTAGTTATAAGGAGATGTTGTTATATACAGGTTATTCAATATGGTAGTTGTATAATCTACAAACAGGTTGTAGTTTCACATAACTGATCATAATATACTCTTAATTCTGGACTGGATTTTGATTCATGTATAAACAGGTAGAAGTTATGAATAATTGTTCCCCTATTCCATAAAATGGAATACCACCTTCACGAAAAATTCGGCCTTGTTCCTTCAACGCCTTCAGTTACTATTTGAAAATTAACAAAAAAAATTATGACTTGCGATTTACAAAAGATAAATATAATGGCTTTATGAATGTATTTTTTTCTAATGTTTTTGCTTACTCCACTAACTGTATTTTTATCCTTCTCAGAATTATCCCAGACTGGAATTAACTCTTAGTACATGTAGAACTGACACCCTGAAAGACTTCAATTCCATCTCCAGACGTTTCGACAATATCATTATCTTTTTTCTTTCTTCTGCACGTATTCACTATATCTTCTAAATGTAAAAGTAGAGTCAACAGAAATTGCATCCATTTTTACGCTTAATTGACGTTTGAATTAACAATAAACACACGGGTTGGTACAAATTTTGTTTTAGATTTGATAAATGATTAATTCAACTGCAGCATTCAGATATTTCGTTCCTCTGATGCTAAGGGCATTATTGGGATTATCTGGAAAATCCTATTGGGATTAGGGATTAAGGAGATGAGCTAATATGATTTCTGTGCTTATATGACAATGCATAATACAAATCATTTTCATTGTTATTTTAGTTATATAAATCTGCTTCATGTATCATCGTATCTACACTGAATTCAGGATTAAGACCATTGTGATTTTTTTCTGCAATACGATTAAAAATATTAATTGATAAGAAAATAGCGAGATCCTAACAAAATCACAGTTCAAATTGAAAATCAGCTGCAAATTATAAGCAAAGGAGAAACAGAGACCCCTGAAAAATACAATGAGAAAAACACTTTGTGTTCCTGGCAAATTCGATCGTTTTGCTTTTGCGACGATATCCAACATCAAATGTAAGATATACAAAGCAATATCAATTTAGAACTAGGTTTACATCAAAAGTTTCAAAGACATAAAAAAGACATATCGACAACCGTTTCCCTGCCATAACCTATTGCTAATCAGGATCTTGAGGTATTAAAATGATTTCCGCAAAGGTGTTCGGAAATCTCTATTTTACATGAATGTCTACCCACCACTGGAGGATGTAGTGTTAATCACCAGTTCTACATTATGGTATGGTTGTGCGTGACTTGGTAGCTTGATGAATGCTTTGAAGACGTAACGATGATTCCCCTTGACGTTAACAGTTTGAGAAAGTCCAGCCCATCCATGAGATCTGTGGAACAGTAAACCATTTTTATTATTATGTTTCACATATGTGAGATATTTCTCTTTTTCACTTCCTAAAACAACTTGGTTAGATGGCACAACGGTAAAGTATCGAGAAGTCAACTGCACTTACTTTACAATACCAGCTGCGCCATAGAGGTATACTTGACTCTAATTGAGTCTGAGAGAGAACGGTGACTTCAAGAACACATTATAACAAGCATTCAACTTAATTGTTTTCTCTGCAAGTATCATGATATGCACGTTCGACCATTAACCTATCAAGAGCGACGATGTTTCACTAGTTAGCGAAGATTAACATTAACAATCTGGGAAAGGCCAATCCCGCCATTAGATCTGTGGAACAGGAAACTATTTTTATCATTCTGTTTAACTTGTGTCAGATATTTCTCTTCTTTTTTTTCCCTTGGCTCAACTATAAAGTAAAATTTGAAAGTATGAGACATTGTGTTCCCAAAGGTAGTGTCTTTTGCTTCATCAATGACATTAGTCATGTAAGTCAATATTAGATTTATATATATTCATAGAATTTGGAATTGAGGATGTTACTATCAAGAAAATCACGACAGGGATATTGAAATCATCACGCTTATCAATTAAGATGCGACAAAACAACAACAACAAATAAACACACGCTAAATGACAACAAGTATGTACATTTTCTTTACGGATAAGTGATTCGTAAACGTGACCTTTTGGCCCTGATCAACTCTTTGATGGATATCTCATTAAACACAATAGTACAATTTTGTACATCTATTTTACTACGCAATAAAAACAAACGATATAGACTTTTGAAACAAGTAAAACGTTAATCAACGTTACACCTGTCCCGATATCAATGCAATGATTATTGATTTCCTGCTAAAAATTTGTCGCCTACAAACAGAGCAAACCCGATATGGTAATTGAGGGTGTGGAAGCGTAAGGGTCTTACTGATGAAGTTGAAAAATTTCATTACATTTTGTTTTCATCAGCAGGATCCTTTTTATGACTTGAACTATTATTTTTTACTAAACGTCATTTAACTTGGTACACGAATGTATCCAATTACTACCGCAGCAATCATGATAAATGCTAAGAAAAGTACGACTTTGTAGTTCAACAAAAGTTGCTACATTTAAAGGACAGAAACAATTATATATAATATATAATGAACCACAAGTAATGACTAAGCAGTACAAAGACTGGCACGTTATGAAATTATGAAGTCTTATCTACGGACTAACTGACACCTGCCCCGGGCACGTCTACAAACACCTAACAGGAATAAAATGCCTTTTATTCCGGTCGTTGTTCAGGTCCTCGTAATTAAACTATTTACAAATTATTAATGTATGTAGGAAATGTTATCAAACGTTGTTAGCATCAAACTTGCGTTATTCAAAATGTTGTGTCTATCGTTATCTGTTGTTTTGTTTGGATCCGAGTACAGCCTGTTATCAGTGGAACCGATCGCATTTTGTTGGATGAGATGTGAAGTCTACTCATTATTGTTCGCGCTAGTGAATATTTCGTACAAGTGTGTTGAGACCATGTGTATGTAAACTTACGCGAGATGAGACAGAAATACGCCATGCTACAAGAGAGATAACTCTTCAAAGTCCAGACAAAACATGCCGTACAGCGTTACCTTATATCTAAGCAATCGTGTCCTCTGAAACATAGATACAGACCATCGTCAGCGAGTATTTATGATTGAACCAAACAAAATTACAGCCACATGATTTAACAAGAGCGTCCATTACCAGTCTGCTTTTATAATTCAATATTCCTGATGACGAATGGTTTCACCGAATTTTGATAAATTTTAAAATGTAGAGACGTCAAACAAGAAAAAGCGTCATCCGTAGATAGTTATTTCTAAAATTCATATTCAGGTTCTGATAGTGTCCATATAACCAGATCCGTCATTGTAACTAATATAAAAGTAAGTAAATATTTAAATTAAGCTGTAGAGGTGCTTGACAGCAACTCGTTTCGTGAGATAAACAGCATTGTTTATGCTAGAGACTTTTTTCAGTCACGAACTTTATCGTAAATATGCATATACCTATTCTGAATGTAACACATGATATACTATGTTTAAGAAAATGTCGTTAAGCATGACCCTGACTTAGTTAGTCGATATATAATCATATATATATTTAGTTTGTTGTCGAAGCTTGCATTGGACGTCAGGCTGATAAAGTAAGTATTTTTGTTCTTGTGAAATTATTAGATATATGGAAAATACAAAATCCATTTTATTATAGGGCATGTGACTTTCCAATCGGGATTTTGACGTAATATTTGTTCACGTTAAATGTTCTTCTGTCACGTATGCCTTTTTAGGCTCAATGACGAGTCCTATAAGAACGAAACTGTTGTATGATGGCGTTTACTTCGTTACATTTGTATCTAGATTTAAACTGGTATGTAAATGTTCTGTTCACTTTTTTGACAATTCAATTTAAAAGAAGAAACTGACAACATAGAGGTATTAGAAAGAATCCATTTTACATATGAAAGAGTGCAATCCAGCACCACTAGAACATGGACTTAATTGACAGACTGGAGAAGGTGTAAAGGGTATTGAAAAGAATGTCCTTTCTAGTATAACTAGAACACCTCTGTAACATTTGAATTTTCTCGCTCAAATACAAAAATAAAATTTCAGGGGCAGTTTTATTGCAGAAAATATCAAAACTTTTTGTAAAACCTTGTCATCAGAAACTATGATATCAGAGCAGGTGTATTCTATGATTGTCTAAGTTAGTTTTTGATATCAACTTATATGTAACAAATCAATAACTACATAAGTCCGAAAACAAACATGCTATATATGTTGGTTCCTATTGACTACATAGGGCTATTAACAATATTTCTTGCAATATTTGAAATGCTTGATCAATTTTAATCCTTATACTTCGTTTTAAAGAAGATATTATTATCAAACCACTGAACCTTTGTCAGTCCTTTTGAAAGTTATTCATATCATATGGTAATGAATGGTTATTCGAGTGACAGGGGTGTCGTGGTCTCACTTACCTTTGCCGTTTACGTAGAAATTACTAACTTCATAAATGAAATAGTGTACTTATCTCCGATACCAAATTTTCATGAAATTGATTGGCAGGACAAGATTTAGCGGGCAATGGTATGGCGTCTATCTGGAGGGACAGATTTATTCAATGTTACATCATCTTATTTCGTTTCGGGTTTAATATTGTTATTTCCATTTTCATGTTTTTAGGTGAAGAGTGAGAATGTCGAAACTGAGTTACATATCGTCACCCAACTCGACTCAAACTGATTACGTGTCCATTGTTGATGTTCTCGAAAATAGAGCCAAGGAAACGCCCGATAAAGAAATATGTATACACAGATTACCAGACGGAGGGAGGAAAGTTCTCACATACGAGGAACTCACACGGAAGTCTACAAAACTTGCCAAGTATCTTGTCTCCATAGGGATCAAAGTCGGAGACAATGTGGCTATCATGGGATCAAATAATCTGGAATGGATCATTGGAGAGTTTGCTATTTTTATTGCTGGGGCTGTTGCTGTCCAATATCAAGGAAGCGGTCAAGTTTTCAACGAGACGGTGCATTTACTTAAGTCAGTCCGGTGTAAAGCTGTTCTACTTGATCCCCATGCTGATCAGACATATCTCTCGGAAATGAAGAAATACTTTCAGGTAAAGGACACGTCAAGCGAAGGTGATGAGAAACCACAAGTTGTATTACTTCAGAAACCAGATGGAGTACCATTACCTTATATTGGTGATATTCTGTCAGCAGAAGAAGATCCTAAAGTAGCGTTGCCAAGAGTTCAACCAGAGAGTTCAGCTGTTATCTTCACTACGTCGGGGTCAACCGGTGTCCCAAAAATGGTCGAATTTACACATCTTGCAATTACAAATTCGCCAATGAAAAGCTACTTCTGTTCAGAGAATGAAATCGTTTTTTCAGACAGACCGTTCTCTTGGTTGGGAGGATCGCCATTATACCCCATTGTAGGTGGATTTGCTCGCATTTTCACAGATCCAAAAATTATTTTGGCGGAAGAGAAAATTCAGAATGTTTGGGAAATCTTAAAAGCAGAAAAGTGTACAGTTGCATTACTTTTTCCATACGCATTAAGAGATCTTCTTGATCACGAAGAAGAAATCCTGAGTATGAAGTATAAGCCTATTTCGATTTTCACTGGAGGCCAAAAACCTGGGAGTCACCTAAATGCGATGTCCGGTAAATTCTGTGAAGAAATTTACAGTGTTTATGGATCAACGGAAGTAGGCAATTTATCAAAAATTTCTCTGGCGGCAGAAACGGAAGTAGATCATGTGGGAGAAATAACACCTGGTTATGAAGTTAAAATTATTGGAAACGATGGTGAAACGTTAGTCTGTGGTGAAATTGGTGACATTGTTAGTCGATCTCCATGGATGTTGAAATCTTACAAGGACTCTCCAGAGCTCACCAAGGTTTCCTTTACTGACGGAGGTTGGTTCCGTATGGGTGATACAGGTTTGATCACAGAAGATGGAAAGTTGTTTGTGAAGGGAAAAGCAGGAGACGTAATAAAGAGAGGGACGAAAAAAATCCTATACAGCTATGTGGAAATGGCGATTACCTGTTTTCCTGGGGTTACAGAGGTCGTTGTTGTAACTGTACCGGATGAACGTCTTCTAGAAGAGATATGCGCATGCGTTATTTTTGAAGACGAGGCCAGAATCACAGAAAATGATCTCAAAAAAATGTGTTTTGAAAAACTAGGCGATAACATCATAGGAGACTCTCCTACTTTTTTTCTTGTGTTTGAAAGTTTCCCACGTCTAAACAATGGGAAAATAGATAGAATCAACACTAAGAAACAAGCTATGGAAAGGCTGAATCGTTGAAAGTGACGGTTGCCGTATTTTGTTCCCAGACAAAGTAACTGTATATAACGTGCGTAGGGCGGATATTTTATTAATTTACACTGTCTTAGTATATTCAGTTTTTAACCTGTGTGAACCACCCCTTTCTCTTAAAGAGAAGATTTCCTATATTATTTCAAAAGAATATTTCAGTATAAACAAACTTATTCAAACATCCATTATTTATGTATATAACTCAAACACATTAGACGATATGGATTGTTTCCTGTTTCAGAAAACTCTAATCCACCATCTCAAACATTACATATTGCCCAGAAGTGCGAGTTTCCATCTGAATCTTATGTCTGTTTGGTCTGTTCTAGTTGTGCCCTTTTGATTGCGAGACTGATCAGAGATAAATTACTGACAGGTGACCATTTTTCCTACCTATGAACGTTTGTTATCGCCATTTCTTTGGAATTACTGAGTGGATCTTTCTTTGATTTCATATGTAGGTTTCTCTTGGTCCCTAGTTGTGTCTTTTTTATTACGGGACAGATCAGAAAAAAGAAGTTGTTGACAGGCGGCCATCTTGCTGTAACTTTCTTAGATTTGATATATAATTTTGATTTCACTAGTAGTGCCCTGTTGATGTTTCGACTTTCAGAAAGAGACGATCAATAAAGGTGGGCGCCAGGATCTGTCTATGATCTTTTGTTAAGAGCGACTGAATACGAATTGCCTTCAAGATACGAAACTATACCATAAACCTCCACGGTGCTTTTCATTAAAAGCATTGCTATCTAAAATGCATAGAATCAATGATGTTTTAGGATAAGTTTATGCGTATCACTGAAACAAACGCATTAACATTTAACAAAGATAACGCCATAGATGAAAGTAATGGGCTGAGATCAATCAACATAATTTGGAACTAGTCCATTTAGTTTTCCATTTTGACAAATGTCTCATCTGTTTATGTAATTTAGAAACTCTTTTATTGAATTTCATTACACAAAGTACAATTTATACGTCACTTGATTGCAGTTTCAGAGGTCTTGCATCAGTGATTAATACTAATAAGATATGAATAATTGATTGTATTATGCGAAACCTGTTTAATAATAAATTATTCTTATCGCTAGCAATGAGATGTACATGAAAACATGTTCTCTTGTATATCCGTCGTTTGAAAGGATAAAACGTAACCAATTAGTTTTAAGGTACCAGAAGAGACCCGATGCTGGAATGAAAGAACAGTCTTATTTTATACCCGACGCTTCTGTTGTTGCCGATTATAATCCTGAGAAATAGTGCACGGCTTGTTAGAAGGAGCACAGGACACAGTATTCTGGATGTACAGATTCGTTTGAAGGTTTTTAATTTCATCACTATTCGTGACAAAATATCCTTCAATGATTGTCAGATAAACATGAACCTATTATTTCAAATTTGTACTCATGGATTTGTTCTTCAGCTTATCTGGATGTACATGACTGCGGTATGTATAAAAACGCTTGTCTACTGACCACCTTATTTCAAAGATATTCTACTGGAGGTCATCAAACACCTAGTGTATTATGTGATAGTAAGAAGATGCAAACAGTTAAATAACGTGTTTCCTTGAAGTTTGTACAAGAAATCTTCCCGAATTCCTTCAACATATATGAATTGTGGAATATAGAACTAGATGGTTTATATATATATGAATGCACTTTCTTAGATTAACAATAGTTTTGTCCTTCACCTCGAGATCATGAGACTGTACAAACACAAAATCACTCATTTGTGTTTGGGAATGATATTATATATTTTTTTCTACTTTTTAAATCTATCATATTTTGTGGACGAAAAGATCACCATCCCTAAGAAGGTGTTTACAACTATGGCAAAAATTGACACCACAAAGAAAAATGACGTCATCTTTCAAATCGAGAATAAAGCAAACATCAATCTTGCAAGAGACAATACAGTACTGCCTTTTGCCAACTTCACTTATGCTCTTGATGTAGATATGGAAAAACTTGTCGAGACCTACAAAAAGGATGGCGTCGTTAACGAAAAAGTTATAAATCCTTTCCCATACAAATACGTAACAAACCCTTTTCACAAATGCACAGGAAAGAAGAACAAAGGAAAAGCAAATACAATATATATCTTATTCGTTGTTAAATCTTCATATAAACACATAGCACAGCGTGATGCAATCCGGCAAACATAGGGTAATGAAAATTACATGAAATATTTCAACATTAGAACTGTCTTTGTCCTTGGCCTGCCACCAGATGGCACTAATCCTGGCGTCAACAGGGAATGGCAAAAACATAGAGACATACTTCAGATGGATTTTGCAGACACCTACATGAACAACACCCTTAAGATGATGGCGGCCGTTTTTTGGACAACAGAATTCTGCGCTCATGCGCAGTTTTTGATTTTGGTTGACGATGATTTTTATGTTGCCCTTGAATCCCTCATTATTCTGTTACAAAAATTGCCTTCAGAACTACAGGAGAGTCTTTACCTTGGCAATACATTCACTTACCGCTCACCAAGTCGTGAAAAAGGATATAAGTGGTACGTTTCTCCGGCAGAATATCCTTTTGAGGAATATCCGCCTTACATAAACGCAGGAACTATTGTCATGTCAATGGACTTTGTGAAGAACGTAAGAATCGCCATGCCGTACACTGCTTTTTTTCGTTTTGATGATATTTACATGTCAATAGTGGCATATAAACTGGGCGTGGCTCCCATTGGTAGCAGGCGATTCTGTAACTGTAAGATTGTCCCTAAAAAAGAGTATTTATTTAATTACATTGTGTCGTCACATGGATACACACCCAGGGAAATGCTGTCATCATGGAAATTACATTATAAGCGACCATATTTAACATCGGTAATGGATATCTGACACAGTAAATATTATAAGATAATGGCTGATGATATTGTTTGAATTGAAATATATTGAAGTAAGTTCTTATTTATCTAATTGAGGACCTAAATGAGCTTCCATGATATGTGTTGTCGAATGAAAAGTTTCATCAATTTCTTATGACATGGAAATTAAGGTTATGTTTTTCACATAACTTAGATATGTGAACAAAAATACGCGAAAATGACATTTGATTACATTTTTACAAAATCTAGCATGGCGATAGTCTTTTTCTTTGATGAAAATACAATGCAAAGGAAAGTATGACCCAATTACGTTACAATGGAATTAATGTGAACCTTCAGCCAATTACAGCTCCGCTAAGTCATATAATACATGTGTAATAACAAACAGATAGAAATGGTTGTCATTAAATTGATGAAAGGATATTTATGTGTCAGTACGGAGTGATTCGACATTTTGGTGAACGAGTTTTGTTTATCGAGATTCATAACCAATGTCTTCGATTGCATCGGTGTATGTTCTGCTTCCGCTTTAGGATATGATCACGACAGATCAGGACGTTAAAACATGAAAGATTTACACTACTGGATAATAAACCCCTTTTCCCGTCATTCTCTATACGTTGTGTTGCGAAGTATCTGTGTCAGTTTCTTGTTTAATTTCATATATATATCGTACACTGTGAGAATTTATGTCGTATTTTAGAAATGTGGTAAGCTCGAATCTAGAGAATATGTTAATGTTCCATTAATTTCTTAATATTACTCAAAATCTTTTTTTTAAGATTGAAATTTTTGTGATGTTTAAGGTCGTCAGGTTAACCTTTATCAGGATAAATTCAATAACATAAGAATCATAGAACCTTATATGGGTCTGTGTCGAGTACAGGGATATTACAACCCGGGTGTAAGTGTTTGGCTGATCAGCACAAGGTTGAGATGTTCCTGTCCACGGAACAGACTCTGTTTTATCATCTTTCTCACTTATTAGAACACCAACAGTTTTTTTTGTTTTTGTTTTTGTTTTTTATTATTAAAACCTTTTCATCAATGTCTCATGAAATAAGCATCGAAATGGATGATGTTATCAATATCCGAAATGGTCATGCTACATAAATGACAAAAACGTTAATATATTGTTAATAGCGTCATACCGCGCACCAAATGTTCATCAATATTAATTATATTTGATTATTTACACTTCCTTTGATGTCCATATTAGAACTTAAATGATCTTGTCATTCATCTAAATCAAGTTTACGTACAGGAATGAATATAGGTGTTATTACTTACATTATCAAACTTGAACACACCACATGATAATATTATCACATATTCCGTAAAATGTTAGCAAAACTAATCAAATTCTGAACAAATAAAGTAGACCATTGATGCACTATATTATTGTTCATGAGAAAAATATATATATATCCCGTGGTCAAACATTGCAGAACCGTCATTAGATATCTTATCAACAACAAAACGAAAAATGAAAAAGGCCATTATTATGAAGACATGGAAACATGACATCTCTACTGGTTGTGTTATAAGAACTTATATTCTAATAACATTACCGAACAGAAGAAAATGTTTCATATTTGAGATCAGTGTCTTAATGAGTATGAGTAGAATATTTTATTTTGTATCACTTAACTCATATATTATGCTATTCTGTGTTATTCCTACTTATGGGAACAGAACTAGCATAAGCATGCATATTTAAACTGTAAAATTGTATAGTGCATATTTAATTAATTTGTCAAGATAGTTAACTATCATCAACATATAGTATTGTTCTCATGTCACTGATTCTTTCAACAATTGTATTAAAAAAAACAATGGCATGATATCACTAGATAATGTTTTAGCTTTATTTTGTACACATATTTGTACGGTTTAATAAAAAATGTGGTCCTTTTTTTCTGTCCAGGTATGCATGTGTGTAATATATGATACATATATAGTTCCTGTACAGGGGAGTTAACTCTAGCGTTACGTTTGAAGAACTCTCCAGGAAGGAGATTAAAAAGTTATCAATAAAATGTCTGTGAAAAGATCTGAAGATACGTGTTATCTCTTTTCAATGCCAAGCTCCCAAATACCGAAGCTCCATAGATCTTGCTGTGGAAGGAAGTAAGTACACC